GGAGGTGGAGGGGAGGTGGAGGGGAGGGGGGGAGTGGAAAAATTGGTGGTCTTCTGCTTGCAATCGCCACGTGGAGAAGGAGACGATGTGGGCGTCATTGCGAGGGTGCGGACTTTGCTGAGAGCGGTCGAGCAAGAGCGAGAGCAGGAGCCGTGACAGAGGCGGTGGTGAGAGGTGGACAAGGCGACGTATTCTCATCACTGTCCTCACTATCCGAAGACGGCGGCTCCAGACCCGATCGTAGGGTCACTTGAACATCACGATTGAGACTTATTGCCGGATAATATACACCCGCAGGCAGGCCAGTGAATGCAATTGGACCGTGCGGCTCATCGTCAAGGTAGTAGGCAAGAGTGCCACGTTCACAATCCAGTCGTACACCAATCACACTGCCCACAGTGATGCCGCCATCAGTGCGTTCAAAGTGCTCCCCATTGTGAAGGAACCAGCTCCGCTTCTCATCAATGTACATCGCCCACGCCCGAGCATCATGACCTGTCGACAACAACCAACACATCACCTCTAACACTCCATCCTAAACAATGTCACACTGTCAGTGTCACAATTCTACACCGGTCCGCTTTGAGACATCATCATCATCATGCAATTCACGCCATCAACAGTCAGGCGTGGTGTCAACGTCTCCAAGTGTGACCACACACACGCACACTTCTCCCCCAATTACCTCTACTTCTTCCAACCCATTTCCGTCCAACCACTTTTCTTCCATGCTTCACTCCAAGACGGAGTGCGCGAAGGGAAAAGTGTTGTCCCACACACACTACACACAAAAGAGTGCAACCACCGATGACAGAGTGAGTTGTGGTGTAGAATTAATTGTACTGAGGAATTAAAAATTTACTCCCTCCCTCCTCTGATGAGGCGAGTGAAGATGCCTGCAAGAGGATCTCCACCTGCCTCCAGCTAGCAGTGGAAGGGAAAAAATGTGCCAAAACCTTTCACAGCAAAGTTGTCGTCTCCTGACAGCCACTTCTTCCCACACCACCATTCAAAGTCCACTTCTGTTAAAACAACAATAACAACAAAAATGCATAAAAAACAAAAAGGGGAGGCGAGGCGAGGGGTGGGAAATGTCACTTCATTAAAATGCCTCCAAGGCACACACCAACACGCACAACTTTCCTTCAGGACATCCATCATGCCTCCTCGACCCCAAAAGTTGCACTCTTCAAGTGACAGCGCT